AAAAAGGTTAGCGTTCACAAGAATGATTCAAAATAAGATTTTGATTACTTGATAAAACACAGATATGGAAAATGATTGTCACTATTTGTATTAAGACAATTACTGATACCAATTAGGTCTATACTTAATTTTGATATTTCATTATTAGTTCAATATATTTTTGATATCAATTAGTATCAAGAGATTACGACTTTTGATATCAATTAGTATTAAAAGAATAAGCTTCCGCATTACGAAGAATTTACTTCAAAAAACTTCGAGTATCGAAGTATTTTTTGAACCGCGAATATCGAATTTTAAAAATATGGACTTCGAAAACACGGAATTTGATTTTTTCGAAGTTGAACAAAATGGTCCTTATTATTGCGTTTACATCCAAAGTATTTCGAAGAAATTAAATTCGAATTTTAAATTTTTGAAATTTATATTTTCAAAGTTCAATTTTATTTTAATGTTTTTTTAATTAAAAGTTTGCTATTTTTTGCTTATTGCAAATTATCTTTTTAAACAGTTTGGCGCTCTCCAACTTGTAGTTCTACTAATTATATTAAAAGTTTTATAATCAACATTTTTATTCACAAAGAAGAAGAGGTATGAATAAACTTTAGTAATAACAGAAAGTAAGAAAAAATGTTATAATGCTTTATTAATTTACTTATTATTCGTTTTAATATGACGCGAATTGTATATTGAAATTAGAAAGTTAGTAGTTCAAAGAAGTTAGAAGTTAGTAGTTCGAAGTAATTAAATTCGAATTTTCAATTTTTGAATTTTGTATTTTCAAAGTTAAAAAGTCTGCTGAGCACTAATTTATAGTTCTTGATTTAGTAAATACAAGTTTTTAACAAAAACAATAAATCACGACTTTACCTGATTAAATATCAGAGTGAATAAACAAATATTTAAAATATTATCACGAAACATTTAGTTGTGCAACTTGAAAAAAACCTCTCTACAAGTTAAAAAATGGCTCATTCAACAAAATCATTGTAGAAAGAGTTTGAAAAAATAAAGACTCCTGACGACTCACCTCCAGGTAAGCGTGATCCTTCTGGAAAGTGTAAGGAATGCGGAAGAATTCTAAAAATGAAAAACTCATCAACTGGTGCTTTAATGTCTCATTTAAAGTGTCACAAAGGAATTCTTACAAGAGTGGTAGCCAAAATACAGCTGCAGCCGTGTGCAGCAGAGTGGTAGCCTCTGAACTAGCAGAAACTGAGCAAGAGGATGCAAATTCACTGGAACTTCACCAAGCTTTGCTTGATGTGGACAAATATGAAAAGAACCGTGGCGGTAAGAAAATTTAAAGTACAGGCGGGTCTTGTTATGTGCAATCTTCTTATTTAGCTTTAGAAGCTCATAAATAAAGTTTAACTGCTTCAATTTAATTTTTTTCAGATTTCATCAACAGTCCATCAAACAACACTCCTTTGAAAACACACAAAAAGAAGAAGTTGTTGCCAGCCCAATCCACACCTAGCTATTCAATAGTTGGATACTTTCAGCCCAAAGTCTCAATTTTTGATAAGCGCCAGCTTAACTATGATTTTGACCTACTTGAGCTGTTGGTATGCTGTTCCCTCTCATTCAACATTGTTGAGACGGAAGGATTCAAAAAGTTATGCGGCCAAAAGGGAACTCCGGATGACAGTCAAGTCTGAACAACTTTTTCAAGGTGTGTGTGTGTGTTTTTTGCTGAAAAAACGTTTGCATGGATAATTGTAATTGGAATTAAAACTCTGGAATTATATGTATTAAATTGGTTATTATTATTTTATTTTTTAGGCAAAAACTCCCATTGCTTTACAGACAGGTAAAGCGATATATTTCTGAGGAATTGGCTAGAGAACTCAATAACTGTGAAGGCCTTGGGGCTTCGACAGACATGAGGACAAGCAGAAGCAACAATTCTTACATATCAGTAACACTTTATTTCATCAACAAAAACTTTGAACTGAAAAAGTTTGTTCTTGCTTGCCAGCCATTTAGTGGCCGAAATACAGCTGCAGCCTTAGCTTAAGCTTTGGATAAGGTTATGCAAACAGACCTTTCTTTTCTCACAGCCAGCACTCAAAGGAATTCTGTGCACGATTCAGCAGCTAATATAAAAGCTCCAAATCCGAAAACAGCAGAGATTACAGACTCTCTTCTTTGCGCTGATTACTTGATTAACTTAGTGCTGCAAAAATCCAACAAAAAGAAAATTTTCAAGTCTTTAAGCCACAATGGGACGTCCTAATCTTTTGAGGAAGACGACAACGACGTTTACAAGGCTATATACTTATATATGTACTTCAAAAAAAATTGAAAAAAATTTGAAATACTTTGGAAAAAAATTTGAACATTTTCGAAGTCCGAATTTGCTTTGATTTACTTCGAAACTTTGACTTTGATTTTCGTAGTTACAAATGTTCACTTCGAAACTTCGACTTCGAAAGACTTTGTGACCCGTAATGCAGAAGCTTACAAGAGATTACGACTTTCGAGTGTGCGTTTTTATTAAAAGTTCAAATCTGAGTCATCCAATACACAAAAAACACAAAACTTTTAAAAAGCTCAAATTTTGAAAACTTTGTTCAGATTTGTGTATGGAATCATTGCATTACCTCCTGCTACATGGTATACCACTCCTGTATATCTGCATACTACTCGTTTTTTTAGAGCTTGTCAAAAGTAGTCATGGGATGTCTTGATAGTTTTTAAATTAGATAGGGCATGTTGTATTTTTAAATATGTAATTAAATTGCGGACAGGATTTCGAATCCAGGCACATTTGGTCTTAAAAAGAAGTCAAGACAACTCAAGAGGACAGAAGTAGTATAAGGTGGTCCTGAAATATCCCAAGAGTTTTTCAATTAGACGGCAAATATTGTATGTCTAAATATAGATAATTGAGAGTGGTCATAATTGTACAGGTGATGGTCAAGGGTGGTCCTGGGATGTCCTAATGGTTATTAAATTAGATTGAACAGTTCTATATCTCAATGTAAGTAACTGAGGTAGAGGTATTTTAATCTTGATCTCCAGGAGCGGTTGTTTGATTGCAAAAGGAGGTGTGATCATGACAATTCATGGCAACACCTATTTCTTTTAAAAAAAATACCGTCTTGACAACTTGTCAGGACGGTATTAGCTTCTTTTTTATTTATTTTATGTACTTATTTTTTTTTCTATATTATGAATAAAAACATATAACAGTTATTAACACTTAAAACTTTTTTGTGTAAACCTTTTCTTTTTTTTATATACGTTCAAAAAAGTATAAATAATGAAACAGATTTTACTAATGGAACAGTTTATGTAATAAAAGTTGTTTTAACTATCTAATTTACTTTTGTAATTTTAAACACGGAACACGTTATTTTTGGATCAGATTATTATATTTAATATGCAAAAGGAGCAAGTATAAATTACATAAGAAAGTATTTTAGGTGCCCGAAGAAGTTCTAACGGTCTTGTCACAGGTCACCGCGGATGAACATTTAAAAAGAAGTCACCTTTCTAATTTTTAATTACGCCTTAGGTGAGATTTGAACTACTGATTCTTCGTTTCTTAGGCAAGTGCCCTACCGCTGCGTCAGGTTGTTTATAATATAGGAACTTCTCCCTATTGAAGCATCTGTTTGATTAAATTGACTACTTTCTTCTACGTATTTACGCATTATTTGTTTTAAATTATATCCCCCTTTTTTCCCAACACATAAATGTTTAAAAATATTAAAAATAATAAATAAGTTTAATTACTTAAAATATCTCTATTACTAAATTTAAAATTTTTAAAGTTTTGAAGTTTTTAATCTCTATGTAAACCAAATAGATTTCAAGTTTTAGGAAAAATAGAAAAGGAGATATCAAACCGCATTTGTACTTGCTACTCACCACTTCCTTGTACGTATTTGAACGCTTTTAGGTAACCTCTCCTCCTCAAATTACTGCGTGCACTCTTTATGGAAGATCCTAAACATTAGCAAATAAAAACTAAAAAGTTTGGTAACTCCACTGTGTAAGAAAATAGTGCACATGAGAGTCAATATTTTTCTATGAAATTAAGCAAGTACATTAAAAATGGACATAATATTAAATAAATGTTTTAGAAAAATAATCCAATATATCTTTTATGCTCCAGAAAAGAAACGATTTATTTAATTGCTGTAAAATAAATAAAAATTAGTAAATACAAAAAACACAAACAAAATTTATATTTACAACAAACACAAAACACGCTTAAAGTGAAACATGCTCACATTTCAAAACAAATAGAAAAAATTAGATATGAAAAATGCGATATTATTAGATAAATAAAAATATTTTTAAATAATGTAAATTTCAGTATAATAGATTTAGAAAATTTAGATATTATAGTTTAACAATATTTTTCCTTTACGTAAATTCTTATCACAACAAAAAATATTATATATATATATATATATATATATATATATATATATATATATATATATATATATATATATATATATATATATATATATGTTTGATAATATTCTTTATAACAATAGTTGCACCTTTTTTTGTAAATGATATGAACACATACTTATTCATATCATATTACAGTATTACACTGTAATGTGATATGAATACGAATATATGTTTGATATTTTTAGTTTCTATTGTTAATATATTATTTGCTTGACATAGTTTAAAAGTTTGACTCAAGCAGAATTAAAAAAAATAAAGCACTTTTAGAGTAGTATTTTTTTTGTCTTTTGTTCTATTTTATCTAACTTGATAATTATTCTCAGTTTTTATAAACTGGACAATGTACTTTTGTGTATTTCTCTGTGTAACATTTTAATTATTTAGATTCAGATTTATTTAAAAAATTACTTTAAACAAGTTGTTATTCAATTTAATATTTAAGTAAATAATTGTTGATATGTGGCTTGCTTGTAAAGTGAAAAACGTCACTATTATTTCGTTGCTATAGTTATCCAAATTTTAATTTTAAAAATAGTTTTGTTTATTGTATTAAATGTTTAAATTGTTTTGTTTATTTTTATGTATAGTAGATCGTAATAAATAATTCGGGATCAGTGTAAAGAATCATTATAAGTTGAATTAAAGAATATACAGAACACTACTATTTTGGAATTTTAGAAAACTTTTTAAAGTGCATTAATAGACATAAGTTGAACATTCTTGTGGAATCAGGGTTGGTAATCAAAGGTTGGTAAATTACAGTTTTAAAGCATCTATTGTATAAAATTATTTTTTATACGATGTACGATTATTTATAGATAAGTTGGTATTTAATTATATTTGTTTAGAAAATCAAGTTTTATTGTTATTAATGATTTAACTACTAATAACCCGTAATACGGGTTGCTAAGTAACTAGTTGCTTACGTAAGGTGTTTCATCTTGCTAGGTATTTTAAACAACTTTTAAGTTATCAAAACAAAACACATTTTTTCATTCACTCCAACCTCAGATTACTTGTTTTAAATGATAAACAAAAAAATATAGAAGAATTTACAAAACATCTTTTATCATTAATCAAGAAAATTATTACAGATAGAACACTACAGAAAGTTAATCTAAAAAGCTTTAACAGACATGGCCGACGATTCGAGTTACGAAGTGGAGGGGCACAATCTTTAATTTCTGAAAAAGGTCTCTATATGATAATATTTCTAAACATAATAACCAAATGAATAAGGTCTTTTTGAAGTAAAGTGTTTGGGGGAGGAGGATGCTCACGGGTCTACCATGTTGTCGACCCTGACAGATAGAAAGTGATTTAAACATAATCTAGAAAAATACTTTAAAAAAAGTACTAGAAAAATTCTAAAGATAATTTTGTTTTCGGGTGTTAAGCAAAATATTTATAAAAAAAAAAGTTGATTTTCTTGTTAAAAATAACTGTAAAAATTGAAAGTCATATAATTAAATATATGTATAAATAGTAAAAAAAAAAATTAACTGAATTAAATTGACTATAAAAAATAATAATAATTTATATGTTATAAGTAAAGACGTTTAAATATTATATAAAAAAAAAAATATATCACTTTTTTAATCTTCTATTTATTTAAATACTACAAAATTTCTGTAAATATTCAATTAAAATTGTAAAATACTAAAAAGAGAAGTTAAATTTAGTGTAAGAAAAAGAAGCAGTTACAAATTAGATTCATTACTAAGTGATCGAAAAGGGAAAATGGTAAGAAACAACAAGAGTATTAAGGTGAGTTGTTAGCAAATAAAACAATTATTGGTAAAAGACCGTCATGAAAATATTAATATAAATAAACAATACATTAACGATTTTAGAGATTCCTTTGAAGTTTCATTACTGAAACAATTCTATTGTGTGGCTAAACGATTCTATTGTGCATTAGATGGAGGGGGAGAGGCAAAAGTTATAGCTCTTAATATGTTTTCAGCTTTTTATAAAGTTTGGAATGCTAGTCTTTTTCATGAGGTTATGTATATTGTGATTCTGGGAAAAGTTGTTAAATTATTAAATGAGATTTTTCCAACGGCAGTATAATAGTCACACTCTGAGGTCAATTACTCTTCATTTTTTTATTTTTGGAATTCATACAGAAATATAAAAAAATTATTCTATTAAAAAAAAGAAGAAATGTATATATTTAAATAAAAATACAGGGACTCAAAGAAGATACGGATGACTAGAGTCACCACAATCTTTTCATAGAGCCCCGATGTGAGCTTTAACATGTAAATAAGTAAATAAAATTATTGTAATAAAATAATAAAAATAAAAAATAACTCCGTTAAAATCATATAAAAAAATAAAAAAACTCATTAAAAAAATAAAGAGAAAAAAGTCAATAAGAGGAATAAATTATTTTGAATATATCAAAATTAGGTTAAAAAACAATTGTGTATATTAAAAAAAGGTTAGTGTATATATTAAGTTTCAAAGCTGTCATTTGATTTCAAATTTTTTTTTTTATATGAAACATAAATGAATTTACTGCTTTCACCATATTGATGTGGTTATTTTTAAACTGTTCCATATCTTAAGCCCGTAATATGTTATACTATATTCTTTGTGTTTAGTTAGTTTACAAGGCAGTAATCCTGTAATCCTCTATTTTGATCTCAGAGAATAGCTTTTGTTTTGATTTATCTTTAATTTTGTTTCTAAGTTTTTCGGAGTGAGATTTAAATGACTATTCGTTAAGATCATGTGTTGAAATGTATTTATCTCGTATACATTTATTAACTTCATTTCCTTCATTAATGGCTTTACAAGCTTAAGTTTGTTTTTTTGCGTATATAATTTATCATTTCTAAGAAATGAAGTAGTATATATCAAGAGCAATGACCTTTGCCTTTTCTGCCTCCATCTAATGTACAATAGAATCGTTTAACCACAGTTAACAACTCTGCGTAGTACAGAAAAATTGAACCATATTTTTGATTATAACCTTATTGATTCACATAGAATAAGCTAAAATTTAAACATTTAAAATGTTGGAGTTTTGTTAAGACATTAAAATCTTTGCTGAAAATAAAGATAGTTTAAGGAGTCAAAATAAAAGTAAGAACTTTATACAATTGAAACAACTTCCCCCCCTCAACTTTCCTTCATACAGCAAAGATGTTTTATCTAACATAAAAAGTGTTTTTAAAATTGGTCATAAGTATTTCACACCCTCTAAAAAATTACATTTTTTTTTGTTATTCACATCCCCAAGGCCGAGAAGGATGAAGATGAGGATGAATAAGGAAGAAATGAGGAGGCTACATAATTGTGGTTAAAACTCTCTCTCAACTCTATGACTCCAAAACACAAATCTTGACGAACAAGGTCGCTGCACGAAAAAATAAGTTGAGCGAGGTACTACTAGGGACGTAGTGAAAATCAAATACGGAGCCTCTCGCTCAAAAGCAAGCGCTCTACCACAACACCACTACCGCATTATAAAAACTTTAATCGAAATACAAATAATGTTAGCTACAGTTGCACAAAAAATATGGAAAGAATTATAAATGGTCACAATAATGCTTTGTTGAATAAAAAAGAAAATCGTAAATGAAAAAAGGACATAAAATTGTAATTGTAAACAAAAACACAACTGTCCAATAGTGGATATTGTTTATCAAAAAACGTGGTATATAATTGTGTTTTCACAAAGAACGTACCTGATAAGCAATATATTGGCTTAACAGAAATTGGGTGAACGGAAAACACATTTTGCGAATTATAAACAATCCTTTTAAAATAAAATCTACTCAAAAGACACCATGCCGTTAAAATACACATGGCATGTTAAAGAAAAAATTATTAATTATTTTACACTGAATTGGTCCAGATGCTGTTTTAGCACCTGCATATAACAATATATACAAAAAATGCACTATCTACCAACAAGAAAAATTTGAAACAAATAGACATGCAAACCAAGAATGTTTATTAAACAAAACTCGCAATCATTTTCTAAATGCAAGTACTAAGCCTCTCCTACGAACTTATAGTAATAAATCAGCTTAAACAATAACATTTACCCACCCTCTCTTCCTCCGTCTTTTTTATCCATGTTTCCTTTATAAAAAAAAATAGCGAATTTCTGCAATGATTTATGACTCGAATTTTTTCACTGCTGATTTCAGTGTGCTGTTTTGCAAATATTACAGCGCTGTTTAGTATGTATTTTGTGATAGGTGGGTAAAATTCATTGATGTCGAGTTGTATAAATACAGTGTTGCTTGTGGCTTATGTTTGTAAACCATTTGATTACTTCTGCGGTGTTTTTCCATTGGTTTAGTTTTAATTTATTTTTAAGTCCTTGTTGATTTTATCTAGGTATGTTTTGCTGACAACACCAAGGTCACCTTTTGCTGGATTTAATAAGCGGCAAGGTTTTTGATTTTTAAAGTTGTTTTTGTGGTCTTTAAATGTAATGAATGCTTCTGATTTGGCAATTGTATTGATTTGTTTGTTTATATTTAGTTTAGTTGCTATGCTTTTTGCCTCAAGGTTGATTGAATTTTCTAGTTTTTTAGGGGCTTTTTTGTATGTTTAGGGTGATGTTTTCTTTCAATAATTTGAAGTAATCTTCGGGGTGTAATTGGTAAATGTTGTTGGTTTTGTCTGCAAATATTAGGATGTTTGGGTTAGATTTAATTTTTAAAACATCGTCCTTTAATTTTTTTTTAAATTGGCTTTGGGATTTCTTAAACTTTATTGATTTTACCAAGTTAAATAGTTCTGTCTCAAAGTTTTCTAATTCTTTGCATTGTGGGGGTGTTTTTTTCGTTTTTAAACCAAAAGTTTCTCGTGAACTTGTTTTGGTATTGTTCATGTGAAAATTTGTTTTCCAGCGTATTCTTTTTATAAAGCTTTCTATTTTTTCAACAAGATTTATTTTGTAGCTAGTTTCATCTTGCATTGGAATATTTTTAAACGAGTAATTAAAATTAAATTTTTCCATTTTTTGAAGTCGATGCGAAAAAGTGCATTGATGCATAAGAGTGCAAAATTGCAAAGTTTATAATATATATATATATATATATATATATATATATATATATATATATATATATATATATATATATATATATATATATATATATATATATATATATATATATATATATATATATTATATACATATATATATATATATATATATATATATATATATATTTATATATATATATATATATATATATATATATATATATATATATATATATATATATATATATATATATATATATATATATATATATATATATATATATATATATATATATATATATTATAACCACCCACCGAGTATAATAAAAAGTGTTCCTAAAACCAATGAGTTAAGATTATCAGCAGCATCGTCAAGTGAATCGATTTTTAAAGAAAGTATTCCTCCTTATCAAGAAACCCTGAAAAAATCTGGACACACTTGCGAACTTGCATACCATCCAAGTATAAAATCTTCAAACAACAACCATAAACGTAAAATAATTTGGTATAATCCTCCTTTCAGTACAAATGTTGTAACAAAAATAGGTAAATGTTTTTTAAACCTCATCGACCACCACTTTCCAGTAAACACAGACTCCGTAAAATTTTTAATAGAAACACAATCAAAATAAGTTAATCCTGTAAGCCAAACATAAAATCCATTATCAACTCTCACAATAAAAACACGTTACATTAGGAAGCAAAAGTTAATGAAAAGACATGCAACTGCA